CTTGGCTTACGGAGGGCATAATGTGCACACTCAATTGGGTGTGGAAATCTGTCTTACCCTACAGGAAAGTAGTGGGGAAGGGGATAAGAGAGGGGGGAATAATAGAAGGGAGGGCAGATTGGGGGAGGAGGTAATTAGAAACAAACTTTTGTGGAGGGACAGGATCAAAGGAGATAATAGAATAAATAGGGAGCAGGGTAAGATGGAGGGAAATACAGTTAGTCATTCACAACATGACTATTATGGAAGTGTTTTGTATCTAGTTGCTTGCCTTCTCAATGAGAAGTGTGGGGAGAGAATTTGAAACTCAGAGTTTTTAAAATGAATGTTAAAAATTGTTTTTTCATGGAACTGGGAAATAAGATACATAGGTAATGGGGTATAGAAATCTGTCTTGACCCATAGGAAAATAGAAGGAAAAGGGGATAAGAGAAGGGGAGGGGATGATAGAAGGGAGAGCAGATTGGGAGAAGGGAGAGCAGATTGGGGGAAGGGATAATCAGAATGTCTTGGCATGAGGGGAGGGGAGAGATGGGGAGAAAATTTGGAACTCAAAATCCTGTGGAAGTGAATGTTGAAAACTAAAAATAAATAATTTTTAAAAAGGAAAAAAAAAAGACTACAAGCCAAGACTAAAGTAGGAGGGAAAGTTGCTGCATGTTTTTTTGTACACAGATGATCATACACTCTGAGGCCAAAATACAACAGAGTATGGATTGATTCTCTGCTGTTTGTGCTAATTTTGGCCTAACAATTAACACGAAGAAAGCACAGGTTCTCCACCAGCCAGCATCACACCATCCATATGTGGAACCATTGGTTACAGCAAACGGAGAAATTTTGAATACAGTGGATAAGTTCACTTATCTTGCCAGTATATTTTCCAGGGATGTACATATAGATGTTGAGGTTGAAATACTCATTGCCACAGCTGGCTCTGTTTGGGAGGCTTCAAAGGAAAGTGTGGGAGAGAAAGAGGTATTAGGCTGCCAACCGAACTGAAGGTCTACAAAGCTGTTGTGCTGATCTCATTATTGTATGCTTGTGAAACTTGGACAGTCATGCCAGGAAGCTGAATCATTTTCATTTGAATTAGGAAGATTCTTAAGATCACCTGGCAAGATAGGGTACTAGATACTAAAGTCCTTTCTTGAATTAAACTGCCAAGCATTAAAATTCTATTACAAAGAGTGCAACTCCGATAGGTTGGCCACGTTATTCAAATGCCAAATGTACAGTTTTTTTGGTTTGTTTTTTGCTTTTTGGCAAGGCAGTCGAGATTAAGTGACTTACCCAGGATACTTGAGGCCAGATTTGAACTCAGGTCCTCCTGATTCAAAGGCCAGAGCTCTATCCACTGCGCCACCTAGCTGCCCCTTATATTTTACATTACATGTAATGTTAGTAGTTGTATTTAATTTTCAATTTAAGTAGCATAATCTTGACTTTTGTTTGTTAGTCTTCTCCTTTGGGAGAACTATGATGAAAACAAAGCCAGGTATTTAGCTTTTTTTTATAGCCCATTTTCTGGTAGATAGAATTATTTTTTACTGCTCAATTTCAAATTCATGAACATAGAGATGAATTTAAAATTTTCTCATTGACAGTATGGCCCATCTCAGTTTTTTTTCTTGTGCTTGGAGGTGCGGGTTCTGTATCTTAATTTCTTTGATATAAAGAATTCTTTATGTGGAAACTTCCTCTTCCTCCCGTATTATAAAACTACCTTGGGATACTGAGAACTGAGTTTGTTTTTCCAGAGTCACACAGCCAGTATGTGTCAGAGGTGAAACTTTTACTGTTTTTTATTCATGTAGCAAACAAGAATCCCTGCTCCCAAGGAATTTATAATCTCACAGAATCTACTGTTAATTGATTTTATTTCCATGGCATATACAAGTTGAAATCTTTTGATAGACCACTTTCTTTTCTTGTTTCTAAAGTCAAAACTACCTTCTGGGTGTAAAAGATGTGAAACTTAGTATAGGATGTTGTCAGCTGAGCAATTTTATCTGATAAAGCAAAAGGAAGTGAGATTGTTGTTTTTAATTTTACAATTTGTCCTCTAAGTTTTATTTTGGAAAGTTGAAATTGGTGAAAGTATTTAGGAAACAGTGGCTTCTGTCAGTGCAGCTCCTTTAAAGCAGACTGAGGAGAGGAAGGAAATAACTCTGTACTAACAGCAAATGCCTAATAATAAAGAAAGAGTTCTGCCTCATTGTTATATATTTGGTTCACTGTAATGTGTCTTGTGTTACCTTTCAGATAGAAACTCTTTAAGCAATTGCATTTTTACATATCTGGAAGTATAGACCAGGGCTTTCTCGCAGACTCGTTTGTTAATACATAAAGTATTACTTGTCACATAATCCTCAAACTATTTTCCTTATGTTTAATGGCATGGCATAGTCGTAATTAAGTTCACTTCCATAAACTTTAAATAGTAACTCTGTGTAAGGCCTAGGAACCCTGGAGATAACTGACAGAAATGTGCCTGTTACTTCTTCTATTCTAATGGACAATAAACCATGAATAGACAAGCATTTCCTAAATGCCTCTGAAAGTCCCAGTGTACTCTGCTGGGCTTTAGGGGTTCAGAGACACAAGGAAACCATCTCTGCCCAATGGGCTTACAATCTACTAAGGAAAACATGCACACATAAACATATGTGAAGTTGGTAGCAAGGGATGCTTAGGAGACTTCTTGTGAAAGCTGGTGCTTGGGCTGAGCTTGGAAGGGTTCTATAGGAGTTTTGAGAGATGGAGGTAAGGAGGGAGGTCATATCACACACACATACGCCGTGATATCTAACTTCTGGTGACAGTAGCTCCAGCAGTTCTGGGGGTGATAGAGAGAGTCAGGAAAGGCTTTCCAGAGGATGTGCCACCCGAGGTGAATCTTGAAGGAGCTAAGGATTCTAAGACATGGAGGTGAGAAGAAATCTCAAGCCACACATGGGAGACTGCTGATGAGACTGCTGAGTCCTGAGACAGGAGAGAGAGAATGTTGAGTTCAGGTTGCTCTCTGTGACCCTGGGCAAATCACTTAATACCTTTGTGCCTCAGTTTCCTCATTTGCAAAATGGGGGTGATAATAAAAGTATCTGCTTCCCCAGGGTTGTTGGGAGCATAAAATGAGATGACATTTATAAAGCACTTTACAAATCTTAAAGCACTTCATAAATGCTAACTAATATTATTATTACCCAATAGGCTAATTCTTCTAGAACTGAGAACTCAGAGGTGTGTGTAACTAATTAGAACTCTTGAAGTTAAGTATGAGTAATAATAATCTGTTTTTTCCTAGAGAATATGTAGTTTTGGATTTTTGTTCTGTAATGTAAATGTGCATTGGTTTTACATGTAGTACTGAATGGGGAGGTGGGGATGTGAATGTGAATAAGCATTAAAAAATGTGGTAGTATGGAAATACAAATGAGTTTTTGTCTTATCTCCTGACCTAAGGTGATGTAACACAAGGTCCTCCAAAGGGCAGGAGAAAATGAAATGTTTTAATGTAGATTTAAAATGCCTTAGTACTAGTAGGCACAACACACATGCACACAAACACATAAAGTAGGCTTTCTACAAAGTATTTTAATCTGTAAGTACTAATGAATCTTAAGGAGAAAAAAAAATCAGTTTTTAAAAAAAATACTATTTCACTCATTTTCTTTCAGGAAAAGTCGCCATCAAAAAAGAAGCCTTGTGCACCCACACTGGAAAAGAAACATGGTTTTCCCTTCAGCCTGTTGATTCCAATTCTGAGGTTCAGGTAAGCATTAAAATTTAAATTTTTTAAGATTATCACATATGTAAAATGAGTAAAACAAAACTGGTTAGTCTGTGTAGTTGGTATTATCTTATGCAATTTTAGTTTATTTTTAAGTATGTTTTTGTTGATAGCTTTTGTTTTTTTATTTCCTAAATTCCCCCTGTATCCCTTCACCTCCCTTCCCTGCTTCTCCTAGAACCATCCCTTATAACAAAAGATTTATTTTTAAAAAGCAAAAAAGAAAGAGAAAAATGAGTGAAACCGATCAGTAAATTTAAAAAAGTCTGACAGTATATGGAATGGCCATGGCCATTTTAGTTTTTAATACTGACACAAAGGACAAAGGAATAGTCTCTCATATGGGATTTTAGGAGTTGGCGAGGGGTGGAGGAGGGTTGAATTGATGTTGTGTGCTGGTTCTACTCCTCTGGGCTTAAGGGGGAAGACAACAAGCCCTTTCTGGCCTTGGGCTTGAGTCTGGAGGTTGGTCTGTTATAAGATGCAGATTATCTCACTATATTTTAAGTTTTTTGTAGGCTTTTTCCATGTTTGGATTCTACTTTGAATTTCTCTGAACCTCACTTTTCTCTTCTAGTTGGAGTTGTTGAAATGCTTTCCAACTCTAAATCTGGATTTCTGTAATTCTGAGTCACTGTAGATGGGAGTAACTATTGCCTAAGAAGGGAGAGTGAAATTTAAAAATGAATGTTTGTAGGACTTAACTGGAAGAATACTAGCATTCTTACTGTAAATAGGAGGGATGAGTTTCTGGGGGAAAGAATGAGTCTGATTCTGAACATGTTGAGTTTGAGAGGTCTTATTGAACATGAAGCTGGAAATTTCCAGCCTGCAGTTCCTGGCATCACTATATTTGATAAACATACTATCTACATCTTTGCTCCATAGACAGAAAGGTTGAATAGAATTGGACTGTGTGGTAGTTTACTAGAAAACTCTCCCTCCAGGTGGTGCTGGTGGTGCTGGTGGTGCTGGTGGTGCTGGTGGTGCTGGTGGTGCAGGTGGTGGTTAGCAGCAACTGCTAACATTTATGTAGCACTTACTATATGCCAGGTCCTGTGCTAAGTGTTTCACAATTATTATTTAATCCTCACAACAATGCTGTGAGTTAGGTGCTGTCATTATCCCCATTTTACAGATGAGGAAACTGAGGCAAGCAGAATCATACAGCTAGGAAGTCTGAGGCTGAATTTAAACTCCGGTCTTCCTAACTTTAGGCTCAGCATTTTGTCCATTGCATCTCCAGCTGCCCCAAGTTGACGTTGATTCATTAATTATCCCTCTTTGGGTCAGGTAATTTAATCCATTATGACAAACCTAAACAAGTGTGTGTCTGGCTAATATTTCCTCATTTTGGACACAAGAATACGAGAGACTGTCAAGTGACTTGTTGAAATCCAGTTTACTCTGTCTCCAGCATTCACCTAATTTATTGGTCTGTAGCATTGTGCTCAAGAAACTTCGTTGTTTTTTAGTCATTTTTAGTCATGTCTTACTCTTTCTGACCCCATTGGAGTTTCCTTGGCAAAGATATTGGAGTGGTTTGCCATTTTCTTCTCCAGCTCATTTTACAGATGAGGAAATTGAGACATACAGTGTTAGGTGATTTGCCCAGGGTCACATAACTAGTGCAACAGTGTCTGAGGTCAGATTTGAATTCAGGAAGATGAATCTTTCTGACTCCAGGCCCTGTACTCTCTGCACTGTGGTGCCACCTGGCTTTCCCAAGAAGTTTCAGGGGCTCCCTGTTTTCAAAGCAATCACTTCTTTCTGTCACTTAAAGCCTTTCACAATCTTGACTCATTGTACATTATTTATATGTACTTATCTACAAACATCGGGTCATAAATTTGTTGTTGTTTGTCCTTTGTTTTCGAAAAAGGACTGGTGACATCATAGGGTGTTGTCTTGACTTTCTCGTGAATTAGATTTGAGTGAGGCAGAGTTGGACAGAGTCCTCAGCCTCACTCTCTCTTCCTGAGTCATTGTAGTCCAGTGGCAAGACAAAAGTCAGGACGACTGGCGATGGCCTGGGATGCTGCAGATGACCTTGGCATCTTTGATGTCTGACCAAGCTCTGAGCATTCCACAGCATCTGCTTCAGCTTATTTCATGGCCATTGGAACAAATTGTTCTTATCTGCCAATTCCCCTGGAGAACTCTTCAGATGCTTGGGGTAGACATCTCCCTAACTCACCAGTGAGTTTGAAGCCTGTCAATTTGGTTTAGCCCATGTGCTGAGACAGTTTACTGGGGTATGGCTGCTGTGCATGCTACAGCTTCTTAGATCAACAGGTGAGAGTTGGGTGACAGGTGGATACCAAAGGTGGATGAGCAGACCTGAAAAGGGCTTTGCAAGCCCTCACATCAGAGGTGCTCGTCCAAAACTGGAAGGAACCTTAGATACCATGGAGTCTAATCCTCCCATTGTAGAGATGAGAAAGCTGAGGACCAGAGAGTCTTCAGTTACCTGAACAGTACATGTCAGACACAGAATTTGAGTCGAGGTCTTCCTGGCTCCACATCCTGCTTGTCATCCATTATACCACATTGCTTCTGTGATACATGTCCTGTTCCCCCTAGTAGAACATAAGCTCCTTCTAAACAGGAGGTGTCTCATAGAATCTCTAGTGCTTGACTTATATGTCTGTTCAGTTGTATTGTAGTTGTATCTGACTGTTCATGAACCCATTTGAAGTTTTCCTGGCAAAAGATACTGGAATAGTTTGCCATTTCCTTCTCCAGCTTATTTTATAAATGAGGAAATTGAGGCAAACAGGGTTAAATGACTTTCCCAGGGTCACACAGCTAGTAAAGTGTGTGAGGCTAGATTTGAACTCAAGAAGATGAATCTTCCTGACTTTAACCTGGGTACTGTATCCACAGCACCATCTAGCTGCCCCCATTTTGTGGACATGTTTTAAAAAATATATAATGATTAGTTTCTGTGAAACTGCAAGGGTTTTGTTTTTTTTTAGATAACTCCAATTTTCTTCCTCTTTTCTTGTCTTTTCTTGAGAGATTTCCATTCTTCGTTGTAGAATTGTAGGCCCTGAGATGTTGCTTACTCTTTTTCTCTGAACTGTTTGAAATCTGTTCTTCTCAAAGCTGAGGTTTATCTTAAAATTATGCTTAGTTTTCCCCACTTAGCTATATTAAGGTTATGTGGTCACTTCCTCCCAAGGTTCCCATCATTTCTCCTTCAGCAACCAGTTCCTCCTTATAGGTCATCATCAGGTCCAGAATTAGCAGTTCCCCTCATTGCTTCCTCCACCTTTTCAAGAATGAAATTGTCTTCAAGTCAACAGTGTATCAGCTACTCTGCTTAAATCAGGAAAACGCTGACAGAAAGCTATCTGGTCAGTTAAGTCCCCTGGCACTATTTTATTATTATGCCTTTGTTCCCTCTTTGTGATATGCTTCCAGAATGGATTATCTACTCCCTCCTTCTGGTCTGTAGTATATTCCTACCATAATATTACTTTGATCCTTCCATTGATATTCCTTCATGTGACCTTTACCCTCTTGGCCTAGTCTGGTTTGTGGATTTCCTCTCAGGAGGCTGCCTACTTGAAGTACGACGTTGTTCCAAATCAAGTAAATTCAATAAAAATTTATTGAGCACGTGTGCGCCAGGAACTATGCTAAACACTGGGGGTACAATCAATAAAAAGAAGGATGGTCCTTATCCTCAAGGAACTTATCATCTAATGAGAGGAGACAGCCCACAAAAGGAAACAGGAAAGTGGGAGTGGAGGCAGGGGTGGGAATGGGCATGGGACACCAGAGAGTATCTTCTGCCGTGGAGCTAAAACCAGTCAGTGCAGCAGATGAAAAGTGGAATAAACGGAGTCCAGTTTCTGCTCTCTATGATGGAAGGTACTGAGAGGAGTTTGGTGCTCTGCCTTCCAGCCCTTCGACCAGAAGGAAGAGGAGTCTGAGGGAGATAGTGTCCACCCAGGCTGGAATTATCAGAGTGATGGTGAGATTAGAAGTCATGAACTTATCCCAGGAGGACCATCTTGTTGCCTGGAGTTGAAACTTTTTGTCTAAGCCTTAGACTCTAAGGTGTGCCCTTAGACATGAATCATGTCCCCCAAATCTGTATGACATCTGTGAAATCAAATTTACCATCTTACATTAAGATTTTTAGTTCATTTTTGTTACTTCACTATGCATATGTATATGTATAATATTACTGTCCCTTTTCTTACATATTGTCTCCTGTGAATTATTGGGTCTATAAATTTTATTCTTTTCCTTGTGTCTTAGTTGCGACTCAGTGTGGTATCTCTTAGTACATGCATGTGAGTTCCTTCTCTCCCCTTAACTTTTAGTTAAAAGCAAGTCACCTGGCAGGTGTAAGCTTTCTAGCCTTTTAAAAAACATATTCTTCCCTAGGCAAGGGCTCATCATTTCTATATATTCGTCTCCATGATTTTGTTGAGTTTTGTTTTTGTCTATACTTAGGAGTCCATTGGTGTGGGGAATTTCCAGTGAGGAAACTCTTTTATTTATCTATTTATTTTTTATTTTTAGGCAATTGGGGTGAAGTGACTTGCCCAGGTCACACAGCTAGTAAGTGTCAAGTGTTTGGTTTGAGGCCATATTTGAACTCGGGTCCTCCTGACTCCAGGGCCCATGCTCTATCCATTGTGCCACCTAGCTGCCCCTGAGGAAATTCTTTGTACCACTAAAAATAAGCTACTGTACATAGTCTCAGAGAGTTGCCTTAGCCATTGAGAGTTAATGATTTGTCCCAGGTCACAGGGCTAGGATGTATTTGTCACAGGATTTAAACTGGGTCTTTCTGATAGAAGCTTACATTCTTTTTTTTTTTTCTTTTTCATTTTATATTTACTTTTTTTTCCAATTACATGTAAGAGCAATTTTTTAACATTTTTTAAAATTTTGAGTTCCAAATTTTTTCCCTCTCTTCCTCCTTGAGAAAGCAGTTTAATATAGATTATACATATGTAGCC